AAATTGTATTAGATGAATGCCACTTTATTGGGACAAAAACCTACCTAAAGCATACACTACACTGTATTATTGAGGCATTTTAATTCCACTTTTCAAATATTTACTTAATTTTTATTGAAAATACATTTCTTTCTGATCTGGTATGTGATGGGAAAAGGAGAAGCATTAGTTTGACAAAAGCCAGGATCGAACTCGAGTCGACTGCGTCAAAAGCAAACAGCTCACGTTTTACTTGCTGCACCACTGATACTTCAGAAATGCAAGTGTATTTTGTAGAGCTGTTAATCACAGCCAGGCATTGGTGGGCAGAGTTAATGTAAATAGCCTCTGCCAACAAATTGGTCTATTTGTCCTTAGAGTAATACACTCCATTTATTTTTAGAGCTGCTTGATAGTGGAATTGAATTATGTTTGCATAATTGAAATATTTTTATTTATACAATATTATTATTATTTAATATCTTTGAAAGAATCTGTACTTTAAAGCGCTATAAAGAAAGGTGACGTCATTTGATGATCGGAAACGTGCTGTAGAGATTAAAGTACAATTTATGTCCTACTAACGATACTGTTTTTAGATACACAGCGATAGTTTGTAGTTTACATGTATATGTATATACGTACAAATACAAATGTTACATTTATAATTACTATTCCCCACCTCCAGTTCACTCACGCATTTGAAGATGAAACGTCACATGGAGCGCATTGCGTTCTGGGAAACAGTATCCCATGCAGCATCTTCAGATGCATACATCAAATTTCAGCCAATGTAGCAGATAATCCGGGCATTCCATGCATACAGAAAATTCACATACTATTCACAGTATACACACAGCATACTGCAATATAGTATGGTAGTATGCTATTCCGAACAGCTTCTGTACTGATTTCAGTGTACTTGAGTTATATTTAGCAGATTCTGGCGAATGTAGTAGGTCATCCGGGTATTACATGCATACAGAAAATTTGCATTCTATTCACAGCATACAAACTGGATACAACAGAAATAGTAAGAGTAGTATGACAGTATGGCATTTCGAGCACAGCCCGTGTGTTTCTTTAGTTCCTTGTCAGTTGTTGAATGCAATGGTTGTCTGTTTGCTAGTCATTCTGTTCTTTGTTCCCTTTTTTTTTTGCCTTATTGTTTGTTCTAGTTTTTACATGAAATACCAGCACATAGATCCTTGCCTCAGCCTGTTTTCTGCAGCTTCTCCACAATGTTACAGTTTTTCACTGGCATGTCTCTTTGACTAGTGCATCTTTGAGTCTATATTTAGTATAAG